GCCAGCTGCACCTGTCCAGAGGGGAAGACCTTGGTCAATGGCTCTTGTATTGACCCCATTGTCTCAGGTCTGAAGCCTCACTTTACTGTAGGGCTGCTCACTTTTTTCATGTTTTTGTGGGTACAAAAGAACATGAAGATTCAATGAAAAATGTTTTTTATTTGTTTCAACATTGTAAAGGTGAGTTGTGCCGACCTGCCTGTGAGAATGGAGGACGTTGCATGGCCAATGAAAAAGGAGACTGGCGCTGTTACTGCTGGCCTAATTTCTCTGGGGAACGTTGTGAAGTCAACCACTGTACAGATTACTGCTTAAACGGAGGCACGTGCACTGGCTCACCTCTTGGTAAGAAACTCTTAAACAGCTTTGTGTAGATTTCAATACATGATTGAAATCTTTGCCTCAGTCTGAGTAATGAAGTATTTGAAATGGTCTTATATTCAGTACTTGTGAACAAATTACATTCATTCTACATGCAACTACTGTGATGAGGAGTTCTTCTAAATTAAAATTGTAAAGACATCTGTTAACTAAACTGTGTGGCAGTGTGTGTGTGCTTGTAATAATGGTTATTCTCTAAAATTATTCAAGGCAGCATATGGACTCTTGGTTTGTATGCTAATGTGCAATTGATCTGTTTTAATAAAGAATTCATTTGAAATTGAGCACTTTGTTCCCAAATGTAGAAACTTACAAAGGATTGCTGATGACAAAATCAGTTGAGTGTTTGTTTGCACCTCAATTAAAATTAGCCAGGAGTGTCATATTACAGCTTTATCTATCATAATCAATCATCTGACTGACGAGGCATGTAAGAAAGCAATTATACTTAACATCAGAATCCTCTGAAGTTTGATACATTTCTTCATTTTCTCTGGTGATTGTTAATGGTCAAGTGGGGTGCAGTGTTATTAAAAAGAGCATAGTGACTGAGTGAAAGCTTTGCTTATAAGTAGAACTATATATTTTATTGAGGTCATATCATGAGGGAGGTGTATTGTAAAAACTCAAAACTCAACACCGTTTATTGAATCTAAACAAAAACAGCTCATTTACCTCAGATTTTTAATGTTTAGTGATTACATTTAAACACATGCACTACAATGTATGCGGCATGTGGCTCTGCATATCTTTTTAAAGGATCTCAATGATGTTTATTTTTAACTATAGTATACAGTATTTAACTATATAATTCTAATATAGAATAGAATAGCATAGACTAGACTAGAATAGAATAGAATAGAATAGAATAGAATAGAATAGAGCAATGTCCTACCTTGATTTGTTCAAAAGTGTTTGTAAATTATTATTTCCATTTCCCAGGTTGTTATGGTCACACAGGATTGTTTACACATTAAACTTGTGACCACAATAAAATAATGTAGTTCTTGCAACAAGAAATCATGATCTTAAGAAACTAAAATGTCATTCCCTAAGCATGGTTTCAAGAGTAATATGTTGTGGCCTTGACATGCAATGACATTTCCACAAGTTTATGTGTTATGGCCAAAATAATGTCCCTTCTTGTCATAAATGACTCCATTCATTTACATAGTGTTTTTTGTTTTTGTTTTGTTTTTTATTCAGGCCACTTTTACACTAAACCTTTCGGTTCAAGTTTGTACCACAGAACGTGGTTCATTTGGTTGGTGTTAGAGCTGTTTTCAGACAGCTTTTCATCAGGTGTCAATTTATGGTACTTGTAGACTCCAGTATAGCTCAAAGTATAAATTGCTTCCTGTAAAATTATAACATTTCTCATGGCCTGTTCTGAAATTGCCAGGTTTTGCCAACAGCTCACATTCTCTCAACTTTTGGTAGTAAAACCAAAAGGACAAAACATGAATAAAACGCTCACATGGACACATCTGTCTACTCCAATCTTAGGGAAACCTACTTGCCGCTGCGTGACAGGCTTCACTGGCCCTAACTGTGAGAGGCGGGTCTGTGATAATCACTGTCTGAATGGAGGCACGTGTGACGTAAGCCTTGGAAACCAGCCAGTGTGTCGCTGCTTGGCAGAGTACACGGGTGACCGCTGTCTTTATCGTAAGTATTGTAAGAGATTGCTTGTACCAAGCAGAAATGGTCAGAAACTGCATTTTAATTCAATAGGTCAGTGATTCTCTTGGCAGGTGATTACATCTACCACTGTGCCCTTTTAATTGAGTTTTCTCTCCACAGCTGGCAACAGCAACAAAAAAGGCCCAATGAAAGCAAATATTGTATTTGACTCGAAAGGGCATTTGCTAGTATTTGAACAATCTGTGCCCAAAGAGGTTTTCTAAATGCTGCTGTAACAACCTTGAGGTGTTTCTGTGCTTTGCTGATAAAATATTTGTAGTTATAAAGTCTTTGTTATTATAATTTGTTGCAAAACCATTTAATCTGCGCACCCGTAATGCATTTTCAGTGCTGTGCACCCAAGGGGTGACACATTTTCATCTTAGGACCAGTAGATATTTGCTGCGGATAATTAAGTCTCATTAAAGCTTTGTAAAATTCTAATTAAACTTGAGCATAATATGAAAGAAATGTGCCCTCATATCTTAATTAAGGACATATCTTGTGCTTTTTTTTTCTCACTGACAGACATCTGTCATCACCACTGCGTCCATTCCCAGGCCTGCACACTGTCCAGCTCCGGACACGTTGAATGCGTGTGCCCGCCTCGCTATGAAGGCATCAAGTGTGATGTCGACAAGTGCCTGCGGTGCCATGGAGCACCATGTATCATTAATGGAGATACAGGAGATGTGGCTTGCAAGTTAGTTGCTTTTAATATCTCTGAAAATGATTTATGTGATGGCAAACATATTTGAAAATAGTTGTTATTTTTACAGTTCAGTTTAGTGGTTGTATTGCATTGTATTATTAAACACTTCGCATTTAAAAATCATTTCCATCTAAAGCAAATTAAGTACAGAACTAATGTTGTGCAAAAGTATAATTCTATTCAGGATAGTAATTGGTAACATTCAAGTAGCTCATAATGATACAAAGCCTAATTCATATACTTTATTTATTTGATCAAAAATGCAGTAAAAACAGAAATATTATTCCAATTTCAAATAATTGTTTGCTATTTTAATATTGCAAACATGTTTGAATACAGTCATTGTTTGTACAGTTCTGTTTGGTGATTGTGTTGGCACAGAAAATACACACTTCACCATTAAAATAATTATTCATCTAAAGCAAATTTAATTAATCAAAAATGCAGTAAAAACAGTAATAATGCAAAATATTATTACAATTTAAAAAATGTTTTCTATTTTAGTATTGCAAGCATATTTGCATAGTTATTATTTTTGCATTTATATTTGGTGATTGTATATTACACGCTTTGCCTTTGAAAATCATTCCTCATCTAAAGTAAATTAAGTACAGAATTGCTTTTCTGACATTTATTTCAACACATTCAGCAAAATATAATTCTATTCAGGATAATAAAGTTCCAGCAACTCCGGTGACATTCAAGTAGCTCATAATGATACAAAGTCTATTTTATATAATTCATTGTTTTTTTTATTAAAAATACACTAAAAACAGTTATAATGTGAAATATTATTATTACAGTTTTAAATAATTGTTTATTCTTTTAAAATTACAAACATGTTCGAATACAGTCATTATTTTTATGGTTAGGTTTGGTGATTGTATTGGCACAGAAATCATTCATCATCTGAAGCAATTCTGCCATTATTTCTGCACATTCAGCAAAATATAATTATATTCAGGATAATAAAGTTCCAGCAACTGCGGTGACATTAAAGCAGCTCATAATGATACAAAGCCTAATTTATAGAATTTATTATTTATTAAGTTCACACTGAAATGACTCCTTGGTTTATGCAAGAACCACATTTTTAGCTTTTCCAATTTGTTGTCGTTCTGCCAGCTGTACCAGTGGTCGAATTGCCTCCAGCTGCCAGTTGTGTGACGGCTACTGCTATAACGGAGGCACCTGTCATCTGGACCCCGACACCAGCCTACCCTTCTGCCAGTAAGAATGACTAAGTGCCTCCTTTTGTCCACATTCCAATTCTCAGCTATTAGACCCACACAGCGCATAACCATGGATGTCTTACCATTCATTTAGAAAAGTTGTACAGATGTCAGAGACTCATAAGTTTCCCATCAATGGGGCCCAAAATTACCTCAGTGGGGGGCTCTACACTGGTACTTAGTTTGACAGACTTATAAAGCACAGAGGAATAATAAGGCCAAGCTCTTGTGTGCCTAAAAGCCTACATTTGGTTAAAAATCAAATTACATCGAACCTGAAAGCTATTTCTTTATTATGTTTTTTTTTATTGTTAATATTATTGTTAATATAATTTGTGGATTTAATCATCAAACCTACTAAATACACCACTGTTTGAAAGTTTGGAGCCAGATTTATTTTTATTTTTTTTTCTGAAATAAATCTTGCATGCTCACAAAGGCTGCATTTATTTGATCAGGAATACATTAAAGGGGTCATATTATGTGATGTCAAGCTTTCCTTTCTCTTTGGAGTGTTACAAGCTTTTGGTGCATAAAGAAGATCTGTAAAGTTGCAAAGACTAAAGTCTCAAATCCAAAGAGATACTCTTTATAAAAGTTAAGAATCAACCACGCCTACCTAAAACGGCTCGTTCTAACACGCCCCACATGTCTACGTCACGATATGGAAATATTAGCATAATGCCGCCCAAATGTTCACGCAAAGAAAGAAGGCGTGGTTTCAGGAACAGCAGTAGTGTTGATGCAGCCATGTCAGTGAGATGCTGTGTGTTTCAGTGCGAAAGCAAAATCACTTTATTTGGCCTTCCGGAAGTAGATGCAATTAGGGATCATTGGTTAAGATTTATTTACAACAGAACAGCACAACCCAGATGTTCGAATTTGTGCAACGCATTTTATGGACTACAGTTTTTTTAACCTAGAAGAGTACAAGGCTGGCTGTGCACAAAGGCTATTTCTAAAAAAAAAAAGGGTCAATTCCGACTTTGCTATGACAATCTGTCGCTTCTGAATCAGCGACTGTAAGTATGTTTTCTTATTATTTTAAGTATTTGCTATTGACTGTTCAAATGCGCAGTTTTGTGCAGCGCAGAGTAATGCGTTGTGTGTGTGTGTGTGTGTGTGTGTGAGGGGAACAGGGTCACATCACAGGAGAGTGAACTGCCTGTCAGAAATCATAGCACGTCAGCTGTCTTAACCGCGGCTTGTGTACTGCATCATCACTGTGTCTGTCACGCGACTCTGTTGCCCTTTCGGGCTTGAACTGATGGTAAAACTAACGACATTATTAACGGTCTTGATATTTATTTTGAAAGATGAAGCTCGCGATTATGGTAAGGGCCGTTACATTTCCGACGTGTGCTTGTGGTGTTCGGCCAATCACAATGCACTGGGTCAGCTGGCCAATCAGAGCAGACTGCACTTGTCAAAGGAGGGGGCTTTGTTGAAAATGACGTGTTTGAGGGAGGTGGGGCATAGAAGACCTACAATAATGTACAGTATTTGAAAAATAATGTGTTTTTTGAACATTAAAGCATGTCAACATATTCTGTTGCACCAAATACACAAAATAATTATCTTTAAAATAGCATCATATGACCCCTTTAATACAGGAATATTGTGACATTTTTTCTATTTAAAATAACTATTTTCTATTTTAATGTCTTAAAATGTAATTTATTCCTGTGATGGCTAAGCTGAATTTTCAGCAGCCATTACTCCAGTCGTCAGTGTCACATGATCCCTCACAAATCATTCTGATATTGAGTTGATGAATAGAAATTAATAGCATTTATTTAAAATAGTAAGACATTAATAATGTTACAAAATATTCTGTCACTTATGATCAATTTATTGTGTTCATGTTGAATACAAATAATTAAAAAAAAATAACTGACCCCAAACTTTTGATAATATATAATATAATTGTGTATCATTTTTTAAATCAATGATCACTAATGAAATGCTAAACATACAGTATAGCTGAAGTTACTGAATTCATAAAGTCTGAAGTCAAAGTTTGATTAATACTGTAAAATCATGAATGGTTTTGAGCTGTCATCTTTGGACATGAAGTTTTGTTGTCAGGTGCAGCATTTTCTTTTTTACACGTTGATAAAGATGAGGTTAGGCTCACACTGTGCAGGACCTGCTAAAAGGATGTCCACCCTGTGGACTTGTGTATATTGGGACACAGTCCTGAGAACAGCTGGAGTCCTGCTTTGTTTGGTTTGGCAGGCAGGAATGGATACATTTAGAAACCCTGACAATTTGTTTTGCCAAGATTAAATTCGCTTTTCCATTGCAAGATCAGGAACAGGTGAAAGCAGGGGCCCTTGCTGAGCACCATGTGTTTAGAGGTAGTAAGCCCACAAAGCTGCCAGATATTACCAGTAAAAAAACAAAATGTTCATATATATACACAGTGGTGGCCAAAATTATTACAACACTTTTATTTAATACACAAGTTTCACAATTTGAGTTGAATTACTGAAATAAATTAACTTTTCCACAACATTCTAATTTATTGAGATGCACCTGTATTTAAGAGGTTTTCGTTTTCAGTTGTTTTTCTTGAATGGGCCATTACAATGCCCATAAAACAAACTATTGCCAGAACTACCTGTGATGGAAGGAATCTGCTGGAACAATGAAAATGATGGACTGGCCCCCTCAAGTTCGGACCTCAACCCCATCGAGCAAATTTGGGGCGAGTTGGAAAATAAACTGGACAGATCTATTGTTCATTTAATGGACATCTTTGGCTTGAGTTGCAGAAGGCATGGGATAACAATAGTGTTGAATTTCTCAGGCAATATATTGACACTATGTCAGAGATATGTACTGCTGTAATTGCTGCAAAAGTTGGACATACCAAATATTAAAAGTTAAAAGTGGATAAAAACAGTATGACTCACTTTGATATTTGTTGTGTTCAGAGCAACCATCTGCATGTTTCATGATCATTATTAAATGAAATCGTGTTTTGGAGGCAAAAAAGGTCAATATTTTCAGATCTGTCAGGTGTTCTAACAATTTTGACCACCACAATTAAGATACAATATGAAAAGCTGATAAGGCCTGAAAAGCAGTTTCAATACAACAGTTTCTCATGTATTTATTCTTGGCTTTGCAGGGATCCACATTTAAATTTGTTCTATCATTTTTAAATTTACATTTTCAGTTGTCTTTTTTATAGTATCTTTTGTTTAATTAATATTTTAATAAATATTAAAATCTATTATATCTTATATTGTCTTATTTATTTGTTTGTTTGTTTATTTATTTGTCATTTACTTAACTACATCACAATATAAGATAAATGCTGAATTTAGAATTACTTTTAGTTCAGAGAATCAATTATAAACATCTAGTAAGGCCTGAAAAAGCAGTGATTTGCAGTGTTGCATATTGCATATAACATAAGCTGAATAAGCCGCAGCCTAATGCAAAACTAAGTCACTCCCATTATAATCAACGAGTTGCCAATTGAGTGTGGGATGTTATACACACCAGTGCACTCATAATTTTCCACAATCATTTTAATTGCAAATGCCTGTGAAATGCCCATACTGTTAAGCCCTGCTTTAAAGAATCTCTGTGGTTCATAAGGTCCTGCTTTCTTGATTTGCTATTACTTTGTTGTGTGCATTTGTAAAGACCCAAATAAATAGTTAGAGAGACATGATTGTTAATGATTTCCCGTACTATTTGCACCTCCTGAACATTTTGTCATATGCAAGATATTTACAGTCATTAATCTTCTTCCCATCAGATTTGATTAGCTGCAAACACAGATTGTGACAGAAGGCATGTAAAACGGATGCTTTCTGAAGCGTGGTGGTTAGCAAGCATTAAATTATCACCAGCTTCATTTAGTCTCCAAACTTAAACAGATTGTAAATAGTTGTTTTGAAAATTGTGGAATGTTCTGAGCCGTTTATATGGCATTTGTGGCAATGACTGCCATAATCAAGAGAATGGAATCAATTTCTATGCAAATTATCTCTCAGGGGTTTTTTATTGTGAGGTTCCGATAATGTGTTTCATTCATTGGCTCTGAGTCACAGGAAATGTATGGGATGATGGATCTGTATCTGGAAAGAAGATTGAATATAATGTAAATTAATTTCTTATCAAAGCCTATAGTCATATATTCTTGGAAAGGCAAAGTTCTTTCCTTCAAAGCACACCTATTTACCTTTGAGATGCTCAGACAACCTGACAAGAAGACAGAATATTCTCCAGAATGCAAACAGACCACCAATTAAGTTGTCTGCCAATGATTTCTTAAAAGAAATGATATATAATTACAAATAAATTATATGATTTTATGGCAAGAGTCGCAAAGTATGGGAAATTATTAACATCAGCATTTCTCTCTAATGATTTATTGGGGTCTACACTGAACAAAACAGCTTTATTTTGAAGACCATTTTGATATATTTTACAGGGTATTGTTTCTGCCAACTTGAAAATTCACAACACATTTCCAATTTATTTATTTTTTTTGTGCTGTCCTCACTAGATATCTGCGATGAACTCATCTGTCAACATCAAAACCTGAGACTGGCTCAGGCACAGGTTCACTTCACTATCGCTTTTCTTTGGCTCACTCTCCGTTCCAGTGAAATCACAAAATAAAATGCATCTGGATGTGTTATACATACTCTGACAGTTTGGATTGTTTCATAAAAAAAAGCAGGAGACAACAAGATTTTAGTCTGAAGCCCCATGATTTGAAAATCATTAGGGGTTATGGAAAAATCTGGAAGGATCAGGGAGTTTTGAGTCATTATTCAGTTTTCTTAGTGAATATGTTCTGAAATATTTAATCAGCTATACCTTGCTCATATGTAGAGAAAAATGTGATAATATCAGTCTGTCTATTAAAAGTCTTTCAGACATACAAAATAAATTGAAACCCACCCTGCAATCTTTGTAAAATGATTTCTTAAAAAAAGATTTTTTCAGTAAACATGAACACATCATTGAAAAGTCATGGCAATTCATGGGCGAACAAGTGTGGGAACCCTGAATCCTAGAACCCCTGGAGTGAATATTTTTGAAATGCGTATTGCTGATTTAATTTCATGGTCATAAAACATAAAGGATCCTGAAACTATAAGCAAGAAATACACCTGCTGCTACTCTACAGATCATGCACATTTCTTCCCAGTTCTTCACACTTATTTCAATTCTTACTGTGCTCACCTCACTGCGATGTCTTGCAGCTGCACGGCAGGGTTCAAGAACCAGCGTTGCGATGAGCTGGCCAATCCCTGCGATTACTACTGTCAGAATGAAGGAATATGCACAATAACTGCCCTTAACAAACCTCGATGCAAGTAGGTCCCACTGTTCACCTGATTCAGATGCCTCATCTCCACCAGACTCCATCCATCCAGTTGATTTAACCTCCCTGCTTCCCCACTGTCCACTTCCCATAATCCTACAGCACCATCCTGAAGAACACGCATCCCATACTGTGCAAACTCTCCACACATTTAGGATTCTCTCATTTGTTCTGCATTTGTTTGGGATGTGTACTTTTTGTTGGGTCTGTGTACTTTTTGTCTGTTTAATTTGTCTAACATCCTGTACAGTCTCAGCTTAGGGAGGAATTAATATACAGCCAAATAATTACAAAATGTCTGCAATGTTTGTAAAATAGTTTTAATGTGAATGATCCAGTCTTCACCCTCATATCATCCGCTGATAAACAAACATCAAACATCTGTTTAATCATAAACATGACCTCCACTGGACCGCTTCCAATTACAAATAAGATGATTCATGACTTTCTTTCCGCTTTACTGCTCGCCATCTAATGAGTGTTTTCAGTTTGTTTGCATGTTTGCCTACGCTTAAAGTGATAGTACACCTAAAGCTGACAAATAAATGTGTAAAAAATAAAATAAAACATAAAATAATTTTAAAGCACCATGACTGCATTTATGTGCTCAAAAATACAGCAAAACACTAATATAATAGTGAAATAGTATTACAAGTTAAAATAACTGCTTTAAATAGTAATGCTTGGTTTTGTTTTGTATTAAAGGGTTAGTTCACCCAAAAACTGAAGATTAGCCCATGTTTTACTCACCCTCAAGGCATGCTAGGTGTATATGACTTTCTTCTTTCAGACGAATCCAATCAGAGTTATATTTTACATTTTCCTTGCTCTTCCAAGCTTTATAATGGCATGGGTGGGTGTTTTTGTTCAACAGTCCAAAAGTAGTCAAATAAAGCGCATCTATCCATATTAAAACATGCCTCACATGGCTACAGGGGGTAAATAATGGTAAATTATTTTTTGTAAAAAAAAAAAATATTCTTCTTTAAAATTATATAAACAGTTTTGTGTAACTTCTGCTAACTGTCGTACGTGCGTTCATGAGAGACTGTCTTAGCGCATGCGAGTCTCATGAAAACCACCGTTTGTTTACGGGAGCAAAGGAAACAAAGTTTCCTTACTTTAGCAAAAGAATCCTCTTGGTTTATATCGAAATCCTCTGACATTTTTCTTTACAAATACTCGTTTTGTACTTCTAATTCATGACCGGCATTTTGTTTTGGTCTCTCTCCGTTGCGCTTCCGCGTCCGTTGCTAATCACCGATGCGTGTGCTGCGCATACGTCCTACGTCATCTGCCGGAATGGCTTCCGCCTACAACAGTTAGCAGGAGTGAAGGAAAGGTATTTATAACATTTGAAATATGGATATTTGTCTTACAAAAACACATTGACTTGATACAGGAGGCCTTTATTCACCCCTCGAGCTGTGTGAGGCGCGTTTTAATATGGATGGATGTGCTTTATTTGACTGCTTTTGGACTGTTGAAAAAAAAACACCCACCCATGCCAAGCTTGGAAGAGCAAGTAAAATGTTTTATATAACTCTGATTGGATTCGTCTGAAAGAAGAAAGTCATATACACCTAGGATGCCTTGAGGGTGAGTAAAACACAGTAATTTTCATTTTTGGGTGAAATAACCCTTTAAGGCTTTGTATGATTAAATGAGGACAGGAGTTGTATTATTGGGTGAACTATTCCTTTAAGTAGAATTTATGCCTGTGTCTGTTGAATCTCCCCTAAAAAACTGTTTTTAATTTGAAACTGTCAGCCGTTTGTTCTTTTTTCTTACTTGCCTTCTGTTTGTTTTGCCTCTGTTGTTTTAAATCAGATGCTCAGCTAATTGGTCGGGGACGCAGTGCGAGAGGCCGGCCCCTAAGAGCAGCCGCTCCGATAACACAGCTGGAGGTGAGCAACGAAGAGAGCTTTGACGCTTTATAAAGAGCTCTCCTCTACTAATTCAATAAGGATTCAGTCCTTGAATTATTAAAATGAAAAGATCCGTTATTTCATCAGTCAAACGACATCTGAATATACATCTGGGCTTCATGTTAAATATTGGTTTAATATATTTTCAGCTGCAGTAGTGTTTATTTAATTTCACTTTGATAGAGTATCTAATAATTTCCTGTTCCACCTGCATAGACACCTGGGGAAATAGACTTAATAGTAGCTTTTGCTTCTGGCTTTTTTCTTGTGTGAAACAGGAAGTATAGCTATCATTGTGCCATTGGTCCTGCTGGTCATTTTGATTGCTTCGGTGGTTACAGGTGTGTGCATCTGCAGAAGACGACAAAGGTACTTTTTGGAACTTTTTTTGTGCAATAATTGATTTATTTAATAATTTATCTAATAATATAATTGTATTTTTTATTAAATCTATATGATTTTAATTAAATCAAACATATATTATTTATTTATTTTATCTATCTTGAATTTAATTTATTTTATTATTTATTATACATAAGAAATGATTTATTTGAAATGATGATGAAAGTATTAAATACACAAAATAGACAAAAAATTAAATGTTGTATATGCATACAGACTGAAGCATTTTTTTTCTGTCGCATCGCCCCTTGCTGTTGTTTTTAGCCTGATGTGCCTTTGAGTGTCGTTGTAATCGTGTTAATTTGACAGCCTTAGTAATAAGCCACTTTGTATTTTGAATACATGTTCAAAAATGCACAGCCCATAAAAACAAACAGAGTCTCCAGACATCTGCAGCTATTTCAAGTGCATCTCTGTCGCAGGGGGAAACGTGTACAACGGCAGCCCATAACTAATGGAGGCATTAATGTGGAGATAGGCAATCCATCCTACAACATGTATGAGGTGGACCATGACAGCCACGCAGATGCCGGAAGCCTTCTCAAACCAAATTTCACACTTGATCCCCACAAGGTTTGTGTTTGGCATTTTTTAACACCCTTAATACAAGAAATGTCTGAGGTTGATGATGTAGATCCATAAATATCAATGTGGTAGATCCAGAAAGAACATGTTTCTTTTCTCTCCTGTAAAATATCTGTTGAATAAATGACAAGTGTAAATATGTAATTTTAACTATAGCTTTACACCAGGGCTTTTATCTTTTGCCTGCATCCTCCCACCCAATGAAAAATATTCACTGCTCCTGCGATTTCTTTTACCTTGAGAATTTGCCTCATTAAAGCTGCAAAAATTATTTTTTTTTACCCTTGCACAGAAATAACTGACATCTGTTTCTAAAGTCTAATGCCTCTTACATGCAGTGCTATATTGCCAGTAACAATACTGCTTTGTCCTGACTGTTTGTTTCATGCTATTTCATGTTTCTGTCTAAATTTGATTTAATATCAGCGTTTACGTAGATGTTGTTTAGTGACAATGACGTTCTAAATGTCGACTGCATGCTGGGGCAACTGTGTTTGTTCCAGGGCTGGTGTGTAAAATCCAGTGACCCTTGCACGCTGAATATTCACTCTGTCCCAAAGGAAGTAATACCTGGACAGGTGAACACCTTGGGCTCCTTTGTCTCAATTATTTGACTTGAGTATCACAGTCATTCTAAATGACATTTTTGCATGCATGTGTTGTGTGCAGTTTGCATGTGTCACTGTGATAGTATTTGCATGGCTTTATAGCTCAACTTCTGCTGTTTTTTTTACGTTTCTCGTTTTTAGTGGTTGATTTATGCAGGTGGTGAGGTTGATGGGGTTGTGAGTGACAGTTATAAAATATCAATCATCCTTTGCTGACATCAGTGTGTCACTATAAGCATGATTAAATACGCTTTTCAAAGTGTATCCAAATCCAAATGATGCTACAGAAACCACATTTGACTCCGGCTGCAGTGGGAGCAACTCCTTGAACCAACTTTCTGAAATCCTGCACAATTTGTTTTCAACATTTCATTTTTGTAGTATTATTTCATTAATTGAAATTCATTGTAAAACTATTTATTTTTATTCATTATGTTTTCCTTTAATATGAATTCTTACGTTTTTTTAAAGATAGTACGAATGTCAATTTTCCACAATTTTCTCTCCAAACAGCCAATGAACTACTCCAATCCGATGTATGCGAAGATGTACCTCGATGGTCAGAACTGTCGCAAACCAGTCATCAACATTGACGAAAGGAGAGAGCTACTCCCAAAGAAACTTGAGGGGACGATTCGAGAAACCGCCGCATAGCCTGACTACACTTTGTACTCTTTTTTTACTTAAATGTACAAAATGTATAAAACACGAGGAAAACAACAATTTTTCTATTTCCTATCAGGTTCCAGATATCTTGTTTATATTTGGTTTCTTGGCACCATCAGCATTGCGCCTTCATATCTGTTGCGATATTTGGAGACATACTTGTCCATTTATTTTTTTTAGCATTTTTGTTGTACTGCACATGTGATACACAACTGCTCATTTGCACATTGTGGACAGTTAACAAAACTACAATAGCAAAATCTTAGTTTTTTTTTAATTGGTGTGTTAATTTCTTCCTAAATTTTAAGTCCATTGCCTTGTGGCATCATGACAGCTTTGCCTTTTTTCTTTCTAGTGTTTACTTCACATTACACTGTGAACGTTTTCATTTCCTTATACTATTAACCTCATTTATCATATTTAATTATGCTAGAAATGCCATATTTGTGCCACTATAAGGGTTTTTGTTATATTCATGTAACATTTTCTTCTTTATTTTCCCCGCTTTCTTCCACAACATAGGGCTACACAAGTCAACCACTTGACTTCAGTCAGTTCTCTTTGAAGAATTGAGTTTATATCTATCCAGTGTTGTTTACTTTTGCTTCATGATGTGATTTTTCATTTCCACCACCCAGAAAAATGCTGCAATTATAAACCATGCTTATGAACCCCAACCATGTGGCATGCTGGGATAGCTCAGTGCCGAATAGAAATATTGACCAAGTGCAGTCTGGTCTACGGCTTGATGATATTCTTGCAGAGCTGATGTCAGTTTGATGGTCATTAAACTACAGTCTGGTAGTTTGAAAGAAGACTGTGGAAGAAAAAGCTACTTTTCTGCTACTTTGCCTGCTTAAAGCTACATTTGAGCTCAACAATACAACTACACCGGCTTCATCAAGCAAATTAAAGCTGACAAAATTGACTTCCTCACTGTTAGACAATAGACCTAGAACAAAAGATATCATGTATAGGTCACAGATCGCTCTTGACATGTCGTGGATACCGGAGAGAATCAAACTTACTGTTACATGGGAATTTTAGAGATTATGAATTAAATCACGTTACAGGTTACTTTCAGAAGGGATGCTACTAAGATACAACAGATTTTATAATTTTGTATTTGATTTATATGTCGTTTGGCTGCTTGTATTTTGGAAAAAAAATGTATTAAATGTAAGTACTTTTTATATAAAAAGCAAATCAATATAAAATAAAGACATTTTATTTCCATTTCAAACAGGATTCCTGTTTCTCTCTATACTTCACTGCTTCATTAAATTCTAGCTTTTGGTTTGAGTGACATTTCTTGCTTTGTGCTTGGACAGGAGTGTCAGAAGCTGGACAGTTTGAGATGTGAATCAGTAAGTTGAAGTTGGGGGGGTTCAGGTCTCAATGTTGGCAGCAGTGAAGTCAGCAAGGATACTATTCACTCTTGCTATCAGTGCTCATTATAATTTGAAGCTATTTTAAACCTGCATGCAAAGACTGCAGTGAATGCATTTCCATGATACATGTTCTGGGTGGCCATTACAAAACCTTTCCGTGTCTAATTTATTCCGACATGCACGTGGCATTGATGCTGCACATAATTCCCAAATCATTTTGTACGGGATTGTGCTTAAGACAATAAGTCTTAAACTAGGGTGCCATTATCAGGGTAAAATCCTTTAAATCCTTTTAATGAGGTAACAAAGCCAATTCCAAATGAAGTCACGATTCCATGCTGAGTGCAAAGCTCTTTCATTTCCTATTTCCCATGGGTACATTTCTTGAATTGACAATGATTCTTGATCATTTCCGTGGGTTTAATGTACTTCCCTTGAATACACACGGTCACATCTGCAAAATGTGTGTGTGTTTTGGTGGTTAGTTTCTGAACTCCAAACAGAAGAACAGAAATATTATATGAAGATATTTTCAAATCAAGTGCAAGACCTTGCATCTAATAATCATGTAATGGCAATGACACTATGTATAGCACATTGCATAAAGGACTATATGGTAAGATTTTGGCCACTTTAAGAATGATGCATCAGACAATGTGTATTAATTGTAAGAAATAAATGGAGCATTTGCTATTTTAGCTGTAATAGCACAAAATGTCAAATTTAAAGAGGCCAAGAATATTTACAAATTTAACTGACCAGATTTGAATTGAAGATGTGTCATAATAGCAACACTATAAATGCAAATTGAATGATTTACCTTAATTAGCCTGTAGGAAAAGCAAATGCACATCTAATTCATGGAAATACTGAATAATAGCCCCATGAATTACAATCAGCATTGAATAATTCATCTGTGACAATTCATCATACCCCAAGTCTAATTTTATGTTTTCACTTTAAATTAAAGCTTGAATTTTTTACTCCTCAAATTTAAAAACATTAACATCCATACATCCCTCATTAGCAGACACGCACAAAACAAGTGATATTCAAAATAATACAATGTCATAGATCACTATGAGACACAAAATTTGATCAATTGACCTCAAAACCGACTAAATGTCACAAATGTCAATATTCATGTGGAATGATCAAATTAAATGAGATTTTGTGCCATCTATGGTCGAGAATCAAATTAAGGTTGGGGGGTGAGGGTCATCTTGCCCCAGGAGGCATCTAACCACTTACCCAACCTGAAATTAAATCAGTTCAACGGTTTTTCAAGCATTCAAAATGAACATTTCCTGGTCACTCTTTTAGTTGTTAGGTTTATATTGTTGGTTGTTTTAAATCAAGGAAGTAGATAGTGAGTTTGTGCTCCAGAAAGAGCTTCCACTCGTCTGGGACATTTTCCATGAGATGCTAGAACATAGCTGTGGGAATTTGCTCTCATTTAAAGCAGCACTATGTAACTTTTTCTGTTCAAAATTTACAAAAATGTATATAATGAGCGAGTACATCATGAATTCATCTTCCAAACCGCGGTTTTGTCTTATTCCGAATCACTACGGTTACGGTACACTTATAATAAATACTTATATTTGGACTATTGTAGCCTGGTCGGATCGGGTCGTCACCGCTGCGGAGTAACACATACCTGCGTGTATCACCATAGACATAGAGAAGTTTCAACTTAGAGAAGTAGCACCGGTTGGAATGCTCTTCCGCGGGATGTGTGCAGTTCAGTTTATTAACCACTATAGAGCGCCAAAAGTAGTGCTGCTTTAATAACCACATCAGCGAGGTCAGGCACCAATGTTGGCTGATGGGATCTGGCTCACAGTTGCTGTTCCAATTCATCCCAAAGCTGTTCAGGTGTGGGGTTTGTGAAGACCAGTCAAGTTAGAAAACATCCTCCCCAAACTTTTAAAGATATTGGATGAAGATAAAAAATATTTAATTAAAAAAGAAGGAAAAAGCATCTAATGCGTCCTATGCTTTATCATCTTTGTGTGGGCTGTACTGAGGATGATACATTTCTCATGGTAGTTAGATTCATGATAAAATGATTAATTCTTGAATTTCTAAGAAATGTATCTTATGATATTGAACTTGATGAAAGAGAACTGTCATAGGTGTCATACTTTATCTCTTCGCCGTTATGATAAAAGCTTGCTAATGACGATATCAAGTGAAGCCTGCCATCGATTTCTTAATGGAACGGGCTGGTTTTATTCATAGGACAAAATTCGGCATTGGTGTAATAAAAGTAAGCCGGAATCCAAGTATTCATTATAGCAATCAATAATGGGAGGAAGAGACATGGTTACAATGAAGAGCATTCTGAACACTGGCACACAGATTTATGTTTCTCATTTAGCAACTCTGCTATATTCAGGTGGACCCATCAATTGTGCTTATCTGAAATAACTGAGACACAATTCATCTGGATAGAGGCGAAGTGGAAATAGATATTTCCGTTTTCATTGTCCTAGACAATGAAGTCACATGACAAATTCATGGTTTGTTATTCTTGAGTTAAACAATCTAGATTGACTTGCGTTGCTTGTGTGATGAAAATGTTTTAGCAGCTCGGCTTTAGAGACTCCTGATGGCGACTGAAATATGATATCTATTGTTTAGTGGCACTAGTTAATATCTTTGTGACATGCGTGCTTTTGCATGCATTATTCAGGTACGTCTGAACATTATCTTGGGAAATGAAGAGAAGGATCTAGACCATTCATAATAAGAGCAGGTGTCTGCAGTATTATTCCGTTTCATCTCCTGTTCTTTATTTCATAGAGATACAAATGACAGATACAGGGGCTTTAAGGACAGTGAGACATACTGTACTTCAGAAGAAAGATTTGACTTCCACTACCAAGCCTTACATGCATTTCACTGTATAGTGCTAGTACAGCACAGGTACTTCAAAGTGTTTAAGTTTTTGACAGCGGAAACCTATGTCAAAAAGAATATTTCATTAAAAGTCATGAATATGAGGGTGAATAAGTGTAAAGTTTCCAAAAACAATGAAAAAAAAAAAACCTTATGCCTGAGGTAAATGTACACACCACTGTTCAAAATATTGTGGTCGATAAGATTTTAAATGTTTTTTGAAAGTCTCTTATGCTCACCAAGGCTGCATTTATTTGATCAAATATAGAGTAAAAACAGTAATATTGTAAAATATTTTTACAATTTAAAATAACTGTTTCTTATGGAAGCCCATTTCCGAGTAAAAAATAAAACAATGTAATTACTTTTCATCTTGCAATTCAGATTTTTTTCTCAGAATAATTGTGAGATTTAAAGTCAAAATTTTGGGATATACTGACATTTTTCTTGCAATTGCGAATTTATATTTTGCTCTCTGAAACTCGTAATTATGACTTTATTTCTTTGAATTGCGTGTTTATTTCTCTCAGTTTTTATATATTTGACATGTTTATATAACACAATTCTGAGAAAAAAAGTCAGAATTATGAGTTTCTATCATGCAATTGTAAGAAAAAAAATAATTATGAGATTTAAAAAAAAGTCACAACTGTCTTGTTTTATTAATTTTTTCCAGCAGAGAAAACAGGCTTCCATGGTTTCCTATTTTAATATATTTTGAAATGTAATTTATTCCTGTGATGCCAAAGCTGAATTTTCTGTAGCCATTACACCAAAAGTTCAAAAGACTTTTATTTGAAATATATTATTTTGTAACAAAAATGTCTTTTTGACCAATTTAATTTATTCATACCGATTTAAAAGTTTTTTATTTGATTTTAGTTTTCTTTAAAAAACTAAATCTTGCTGACCCTAAATTTTTGAACACTATGCCACTTTTTACTTTAAAACTGCAGACTCCTAAAAAGGACTCGGTCTCTCTCTCTCTCTCTCTCTCTCTCTCTCTATATATATATATATATATATATATACATACACTACCTTTCAAAAGTTTGGGATCAGTAAGATTTTTGTATTTTTTACCCAAGTTTCTTGTGCTCATCAATGCTGTATTTATTTGACCAAAAATACAGAAAAACCCTGTTATTTTGTGAAATTTTATCGCAATTTGAAATAAGTTTATATTTTAATATACTTTAAAACATAATTTACTCCTGGGATGCAAAGCTGAATTTTCAGCAGTCTTCAGTGTCACATGATCCTTCAGAAATCATTCTATTATGCTGATTTATTATCAGTGCTGGAAACAGTTGTGCTGCTTCATGTTTTTTTAGAACCTGTGATACTTTTTTCAGGATTATTTTATGAATATAAAATTTAAAAAACAGCATTTATTCATAATGGAAATCTTGTGTTACACTACCGTTCAAAAGTTGGGAGTCAGTAAACTTTTTTCTTTCTTTTTTTGAAAGTAATGAATACTTTTATTCAGCTTTTTATTCATAAAAGAATCCAGAAAAAAGTAT